TGGGAGGAAGCCACAGAGAAAAGGTCACTGTAACACCATTGCCCTCCCCACCACCCCCAGACATGGGCAAGCTTGGGTCACTGGGGCTGCAAGACCTTCCTGAGGCTCCACCCAATCCTGAAACACAGTCATAGTTACTTTAATCTCTGTGTGACTCAGTTTCCTTGTCCATACAATAGGAATAATACTTTGTTATGAGAACTAAAGGAAAGTATGAATATAAAGCCCATGAAATATAGTTAAGTGCTTAATAATCAGTAGATCTATGTATGTAAACCAACAGGGAGGTTTGCATAATCACCGTACACAGATGTAAGAAACGGAGACACCCTCGCTGGAGGTGGCCCTGGGGGTAGGGACAGCAAGCATTAGCCCCCACCTCCCAGCCACCGATGGAGTGCCCTACGTCTCCCCTTTCCCATCAGGGTGCCGTGGAGGTGTGTTCCTGTGTGGTGGGTGCCTGGGAGAAGGAGCCAGGTCCAGGGCCATCTGGGCCTTTGGTCTATCTTCTCTCAACTCCCAGGACCTGCTGCCACCCCAAAGCAGAGGCAGGACCCCTCCCTTTCCCTAGTCTATCTGCCCTGGGCCAGGCCTGGGCTTCTGGCCCCACACTGCCCCTCCCCACTTCCTGTTTGCAGTATGCAGGGTAAATATTAGTCCTGGGTCTCAGAAGGACAGAGGGACAAAGAGCAGGAACTCTAGGAAGCACAGCTTCTTGCCTCGCCTTGCCTGTCCTTCTGGCCTGGCTGTTTGGGGTCTGGACCACAGTCATGTACAATCTGTGAGGAGAGAGGGTCAGCAGAGAATTAAGGACCAGGAGCCCCACAAATTACCATCATTCCTGGGTAGCCCAGTTCCTACACATTTTTTTTAAATGTTAGATCTCAAACTATAACTGTGAATTTAAAATGTTCAGTTACTTTGGTTGTTACTTATTACAGTTCTAATCCATAAACATAGTTATGACTAATACATATGTCTACTTTCCTTACTAATTTTTAAGTGGTTACCTGAAATAGGAGAAGAATTAAATATAATCTTTAAAGGAGTTTGAAAACATGACAGGTATTTTTGAACTACAAACATACAATTGTATATTAAGAAAAACTAGGCCTGGTGTGGTGGCTCATGCCTGTAATCCTAGCACTCTGGGAGGCTGAGGCAGTGGATTGCTCAAGGTCAGGAGTTCAAAACCAGCCTGAGCAAGAGTGAGACCCCATCTCTACTATGAATAGAAATTAATTGGCCAACTAAACATATATGTGTGTGTGTGTGTGTGTGTGTGTGTGTGTGTATAACATTAGCTGGGCATGGTGGCACATGCCTGTAGTCCCAGCTACTCAGGAGGCTGAGGCAGGGGGATCGCTTGAGCCCAGGAGTTTGAGGTTGCTGTGAGCTAGGCTGAATCACTGACATAAATTACGAAAATCTGTGCTGCTTCTTGCTATTCTTTGTATATCTTTTATTGACCCCTATCCAAACACGTTCCACTAGCTCCGAAATGCTTTCCCCTGTGGAATCCTAAGGATGTCAACATATGTGCTGGCTAGAAGCACAGTTCACCAGGGACTGAACTACTTCACCCTACAAAACCTTTAGGTTTTGCCAAGAATGACATTTCTGATGTAATAAAGTTACCATGTTTGTTTGTGAGCGCCCACTCACAAAACAGCTTCTCCCCCTATGTTGGCACGGTATACAGACATGCGAATAACACAAAAAGAACAAACACATAGCAGTTGACACCAGATGAGATTAGATGTAAGAAAGAGAAAGATTCCATGAGAAATTCCATTTTAGGGCTTTGGGTCACTGGTTATATGGCAATAATACCATATATAAGGGAAGAATGAAGAATGTGGTTTTCATTTTGGATTCACTGACTTTGAGGTGACTTTTAAAAAATTAGTAATTTTACGGAACACTTCAAGAATTTGCATGTCATCCTTGTGCAGGGGCCATGCTAATCTTCCCTGTATCGGTCCAATTTTAGTATATGTGCTACGGAGGCGAGCACTGAGGCGCCAGCAGTCAACAGGGAGTCGACCCTATGGCCTAAAGGCTGGGGAAGAGGTCAAAGCTGGAGAGAACAGGACTGCCCAACCACAGAGGGCTGAATGGGTCGAGGAGAACCGTAGAGCAGGATGTATGGGAAATGGCTTGGAACACTTAGATGAGCTATGGTAAGGAGAAGTAGAAGAGGAGAATCCATCACTGAGTTCATGATAAAGACTAACACAGAAGAATTCCCAGCAGAAGATCATGAAGTATAGTCTCAAACATGGCAAAAGATTAAAATAAGACAAAGATTAGAGAATAGTCATTGGATTTGACCATAATTTAGGTTATTGGTGAACTTACATGAAATGAACTAAGGCTACATCAAGTGAGCTGAAGTACAAAAGGGTACTGGGAACATTTGCCAGAAGATATAACGGTGAATAGTCTGCTGCACACCATGCACGTACAGATGAGCTGGCAGAAATGTATGGAGAGTTTCTTAAGGACCTATGGTTGACACAATCCTCCAGACAGGTCACCTGAGGTATCTCACACCTGTAATTCTAGCTCTCTGGCAGGCCGAGGTGGGAGGATCGCTTGAGATCAGGAGTTCAAGACCAGCCTGAGCAAGAGTGATACATCATCCCTACTAAAAAAAAAGTTAAAAAATTTTTTTAAAGTTAAAAAAAAAAAGATAAAACACTCAAAAAGGGTCTGTTACTTGTAAGTCAGCATTGTGTTGTTTCATTACATTATTATTTTATTTATTTATTTATTTTTGAGACAGAGTCTCGCTTGTTGCCCAGGCTAGAGTGAGTGCCGTGGCGTCAGCCTAGCTCACAGCAACCTCAAACTCCTGGGCTCAAGCAATCCTGCTGCCTCAGCCTCCCGAGTAGCTGGGACTACAGGCATGCGCCACCATGCCCGGCTAATTTTATATATATATTAGTTGGCCAATTAATTTCTTTCTATTTATAGTAGAGACGGGGTCTCGCTCTTGCTCAGGCTGGTTTCGAACTCCTGACCTCGAGCAATCCACCCGCCTCAGCCTCCCAGAGTGCTAGGATTACAGGCGTGAGCCACCGCGCCCAGCTTGTTTCATTACATTTTAAGAAATTAGTTTTTCCCAGCTACTCGGGAGCCTGAGGCAGAAGGATTGCTTGAGCCCAGGAGTTTGAGGTTGCTGTGAGCTAGGCTGACACCACGGCACTCTTGACTGGGCAACAGAGTGAGACTCTGTCTCAAAAAAAAGAAATTTGTTTGAAGCAGCCACATGATGTGGTCTAATTTTCCCACTTTAAATAATGTGCAGTAGGCTTCTATTATTTTCCCACAAAATTTATGATTTTTCAATAACAGATTAGTGACATTAAGTGGGAAACATTTCTGTTTCATCAAAGGAAACCCTCTGAGGTCACATAATCCACAGAAATTGTCGGGAATCAAAAAGGATAGTGATGTTTAAGGCAAGGTATTTTTTCTTTTTTTTTGAGACACAGTCTCACTGTGTTGCCTGGGCTAGAGTGCCGTGGTATCAGCCTAGCTCACAGCAACTTCAAACTCCTGGGCTCAAGCGATCCTCCTGCCTTAGCCTCCCGAGTAGCTGAGACTACAGGCACATGCCACCATGCCTAGTTAATTTTTTTTTTCTATTTTTAGTTGTTTGGCTAATTTCTTTCTATTTAGAGACTGGGGTCTCATTCTTGCTCAGGCTGGTCTCGAACTCCTGAGCTCAAGCAATCCTCCCGCCTCAGCCTCCCAGAGTGCTAGGATTACAGGTGTAAGCCACCGCACCCAGCCAAGGCAAGGTTATTTTAAAGCAATCTTTGTTCTAAGTTGACTTTTAAAAAAAAATTACTTAAGACCTTTATTAACAGGTGCTTGCAGTTTGTTGACTTTTTTTAAAAAATCAAGTTTGTGAACTTTTATTACAAATTAAAAATGAAGTTCTTAAAAATCTCAACTTGACCAGATATGAAACAATTTAGAAACCTTTAAAGGCATAGAGAAAAACCAGGCTTTTAAAAAAAAAAACACGTTTGTTATTACCAAAAAAGACATCTTTAGGTAAAAATAATAAAAACCCCATCCTGCATAGATAATGCAGATAGTTCTAGTTATCTGGTCAATGGGCAAAAAGCAAGCACTTAAGGTCTTCAGTTCCAATCTTTTCTTCATTTCTTATTGCTGGAATTTCATATTCATTTCTTGTTGGATGACTAAACCAGACGATGGTAGAGATGGTAAGCCGACATTTACTCAGCCCCGCCCTGCTCAGCCTCGGGAGCAGACGAATTCTCAGCTGGTGGATCGGCTGCTTTTGCCTCTTTGCCATCTTGTGGTTTAGGGTTTTCTGGGCGTCTGCGTCGGTAATTGAAGTTGCGGCTGCTGACCTTGGGTCTCGTCTCCTTGATTCTCTTCATCCTCTTCATTGCCGTCCTCTCTGGGCTGTCTTTGGCGAGGAGGGCCCCTGCGGAATCATGGTCTGTAACCCGCTACATGTTCTGTCTTACTGGTGGTCTACCTTGTTCTCCTGCACCCTGGTTGTCAGCGCCCTCCATCACTGCTCCCCGTGCGGGAGGGTTGGAATACTGCGGTCGACGCCCATAGGGTCTCCGCATGTAGTAAGGTGGGGACCTCCACCTGCGGCAGGGCCGGCGTTGTTGGGCCTGGCCTTCAGGAGCACCCTCCGGTCCCTCATTCTTTCCCCCACTCTCACTGTTCTGATGATTCTGCTGGTACTTGCCTGGAGGACCCCTGCGACGTGGACAGCGTCTGTAATGGTTACGGTCTGCTGCATATGTACTGCCTTGAACTGGAACTCCACCGGGGCCTGCGACATTTGCTGCCTCCGCACCCTTTTCTCCTTCAACAACATCCAGCCCCACAGTCTCCCCATCTCCTGCACTGCGAAGGTACTTCCCGGGGTTATTCTTCTTTATGGCAGTCGGGTGTACAAATACATCTTCCTTGGTGTCATTCCTGTTGATGAAACCATATCATTTCTTACATTGAACCATCTTACTGTCCCCAAAACCTTCGTTGGGATGACCTTCTTGTCCCCGCCAGCAGGCCGGGGCCACCGCTCCCTGCGCCGCTGCCCCTGGTGCCGGGCTTGGTGTGGGCAGCGCTGAGGGCGGGGGCGGCTGCTGGGTCTCCGCCTCGCTGTTATAGTTGCGGTGATGGTGGCTGGGGCCACTGCGGCAGGTGCAGCTCCTCCCGATGTGTGATGGTAACTAGGCTGGCGGTGGGGCTGCACAGGGCACTCTGGGGTCCGCTCTCCGATCGAACTCTATTCTAAGTTGACTTTACTGTCACAAAATTAATCTCAAAAGTAAATGAACACTTGTTTTGACTTAAATGACAAAATGGATAACACTAGCCAAAAAGTCAGGTTGCCGAACAGCTACAAATCATGTGACCCTGGGCAAGTCATAGCTCCTCAAATTCAATTTTGTCAACTTCCTTATAAGGTAGAAATATCTTGGCAAACCCTTCCTGAACTGCCAGAAAGAACTCTCAGGAAAGACAGAGCATCAGTATATTTGTAGATGCCAAATTTGGTAATAGACAAGGTTTGAGAGAGCTCAGAAACTGGACACAGTGAGGAGGAACAGGACTGTGTTTAGAGAGCACTGTAGACAGATCATCTCAGCCATGAGAGGTCATTCCTCCATCCCAGACACCCCATTCAAGCCCCCTCCAATAAGTAATGCTCTCTAGGCGCCGGACTACCCTTCTCAGCTAAACTCACCTCTCCCTGCTGAAAGTCATCCTAACCATCCAATGGCACTCAGTCTTTGACAGCTACAGAATAAGGGATTATCAACCAAATGTTGTGCATTCTAGGGAGTAGGATCAATGATGGCTTAGGCCATGCAAAGCTAGGATCTCACCTTTCTGTGACCCTTTCACCTTTGCTCTGAAGTGCTAGTGAGAGGGCTCAGGCCAAAGAGGTGTTCTTTCAGGTGGGATTCTTATTATCAAGGTGTTCTCCTTCAAACTCTGTAACACCTACTTTATTCCCAAGAAAACCACACCCTCATCCCAATCTCCCTGGTGCAACGCACTGTCCCTGTAAACTAGGTCCTATAGAAACTTCTGTAAACTCAAACCGGGAGTGCTACAATGCAGAAGGAGACCACCAACTTCATCTGCTGAAGAGGCATTGTTAACGAACCCACCTGGGGGCCTCAGTGCTACCACATGGAAAGCCACTTACTGAGACAACAAGGATTGTCAAGGAAGGAAGGATCTATTGCAGAAGACGTGTCTGCTGGGAGGAGGCGGTATGAACTGTCTCAAATCTGCCTCTCCAACCAACAGGGTCAGGGGGATTTTTTGGAGGCAAAATGAATAATGCATGAGGGATGTGAGTATCATTTCATGTTTGGGGTGGAGTGCAGGGCTCACAAGTGCAGTGAGAAATCATGCTAGTACATATATCCCATGATCAGAAAATGGCGGGGAAGTCCCTCCTGGGGCAGGGGTCTTAGTATTATAATGAGCTAGGGATTAATACTGGTCATTCGTTCAGCCTTGTGCGCAGACTCTGGGTCTTTGGGCATGATCTGTGGTGGAGCATGATCTGTGGTGGAGCATCACTTACCTTGTCTTCTCCGGACAAACAGGTGGTGTGAGCCTTTGCGGTTATCTCACAGCTACAAGGAGGTCCCCCCATTTCTGGTAAAGAAACTCAAAAGAGAATGCAACAGTGCAACAGAAAGTTACAAAGTTCTGGTCAGCAAATCTTACCCAGAGCTCTCTTATTTTCTGCCTGTTTTGAGAGCTGCTAAACTACCAGGGCTGAGATAAAATTCATTGTTAAGGTCACGTAGAGCTGCCAGCCACAAGCATGATGTGAAACACTGAAAACTCATTTGAAATATGAGGGAACTAAAAACATTATTGAGAAAACATTTTCTTGCTTATGGAGCTGGTTACACCACTAGGAAGCCCCATAAAAACAACTGCCACCCAATAAGACGCAGTCTGCACACACTTCGAAAATCATTCCGCTGGGAATTCCGGGGCATTTCACTAGTATTGTTAAAATGCTCATGGTACAGGCCGGGCATGGTGGCTCATGCCTGTAATCCTAGCACTCTGGGAGGCTGAGGCGGGTGGATTGATCGAGATCAGGAGTTCAAAACCAGCCTGAGCACGAGTGAGACCCCCATCTCTACTATAAATAGAAATAAATTAATTGGCCAACTAATATATACAGAAAAAATTAGCCGGGCATGGTGGCGCATGCCTGTAGTCCCAGCTACTCGGGAGGCTGAGGCAGCAGGATTGCTTGAGCCCAGGAGTTTGAGGTTGCTGTGAGCTAGGCTGACGCCACAGCACTGTAGCCTGGGCAACGAAGTGAGACTCTGTCTCAAAAAAAAAAAAAATGCTCGTGGTACAGATGGGTAAACTGATGGCCACAATGATTAGTAACTGGCTCATTGGGGACAAAGCTGGCCTGTGACCGCCCACACAGACCTGTCACTCTCGGTTATGGACACCAACCCCTGCCGCCCTGGAATCCACCGCCCCCTCCCAGAGCTTCTGGAACCAGCACCAGCCCTTCTGGGATTGCGCGCTGTCCTCACACTATTGAAAGCTCAGCCCGCACCTGCACGTCGCCAGGCCTCGCCCGCCTGAGACCCTCCTGCCTTTCTGCTCCCACCAAGTGGTGACACCAGTCCTGCCTCTCACAGGTCCCCAGGCCCTGGGGCTCCTCTGTCACCCCCGCACCAACCTTCAGGGACACAGAAGACCACCCCAGACCAGCCGAGGACCGCAGCGTCCAGAACGGGAGGACCGCAGTGTCCAGAACGGGAGAACCGCAGCGTCCAGAACGCGCAGGAGGAAGATGGCTGGAATGAGCAGAGCGGCACATGCACCCCTGTATATTTTCATAAATATATATATATTTGTTTGTTTGTTTTTGGTTTTTTTGAGACAGAGTCTTGCTTTGTTGTCCAGGCTAGAGTGAGTGCTGTGGTGTCAGCCTAGCTCACGGTAGCCTCAATCTCCTGGGCTCAAGCAATCCTGCTGCCTCAGCCTTTCAAGTAGCTGGGACTACAGGCATGCGCCACCATGCCCGGCTAATTTTTTCTATGTATATTAGTTGGCCAATTAATTTCTTTCTATTTATAGTAGAGACGGGGTCTCGCTCTTGCTCAGGCTGCTTTTGAACTCCTGACCTGGGCCTCCCAGAGTGCTAGGATTACAGGCGTGAGCCACGCATCGGGCCCAGGATTTTACTCCTGCTCAAGCTAGTCTCAAACCCCTGACTTAAGCAATCCTCTCACCTCAGCCTCCCAAAGTGCTAGGATTGTAGGCGTGAGCCACCACACCCAGCCTAGTTTTGTTTTGATTAAAAAATATAAATAAGTCAATTTCTATTCAGTAAAAATCTTTAAAAATATGAGATCCTGTTAGGCATGGGGGCATATACCTGTAGTCTCAGCTACTTGGGAGGCCAAAGCAGGAGAAGGATCACTTGAGGCTAGGAGTTCAAGACTAGCCTGAACAACATAGTGAGACCCTGTCTCTACAAAAATAAAAAAATTCTTGGTACCAACTATTTAAATAAATAAATAAATAAGCTGGGCATGGTGGTACATGTCTGTAGTGCCAGCTACTCAGGAGGCTGAAGCAGGAGGATCACTTGAACCTGGGATTGGCAGGTTCCAGTGAGCTGTGACCATACCCTTGCACTCCAGTCTGGGTGACAGAGCAAAAACCCTATCTCAAAATAAAACAAATAATAAAATAAAATATTTTAAAAATTCAAAAATATACATATATGGGATCCATATAAGGAAAAATAGTTAGCAAAGGGCTCCCTGGTGGAGCCGAGATTGGGAACCACTAATCTCATCCAACTGCCCCATGTCACTATAAGGTCATGGAAAAACCGGAGTGGGGAAAGCTAATTGATCGAGATCACACAGAGAGTTGGTGGTAAAGCCAGGACTGGAACCCAGACTCTTAGTTCAGAGTAACTCTCTTATCCCATGACCCTCATCCCCGCCCCATTTGGTAGCTTACAGCCTCATTGTATCATAAAGTCTGTGGAGGACATGCACCCAAAGTACCAAACTATTGGCAAGTGATGCTGGCATACCTCAGATAATAATACCTGTAGGAAAATACATGTGAGCACTTTAATTTTGCTTGTCTTCCAACTTAGGAGGGCTGGTGACAATACTATTAATAATCAGCTACAAGTTATTAATAGCAATTGCTTACCATGTGCCAGGTATGTAGTATTTATAAAGTAGGTAATATATTTAGCCCCAGTTTATGAATGAGGAAACAAAGGTGCAGAGAAGTTAAGTAACTTACGCGAGTTTATGCAGCTAGTCAAGGGCAGGGCCACCACCCACACCCAGAGCTGTCTAGAGAAGGGGCCCTTTACGATCCATACATACGCTTTGCAACGTCCAAAGATCTTTGAACAAGATTCAAATTTTATGCTATTGTAAGATTTTCCTGTACAATTAAAGTTGCAAATCAGAACAAAAGAGCCTTTATCGACCCACATTTTTTTATTTTTATTTTTATTTTTTTTGAGACAGAGTCTCGCTTTGTTGCCCAGGCTAGAGTGAGTGCCGTGGCGTCAGCCTAGCTCACAGCAACCTCAAACTCCTGGGCTCAAGCGATCCTACTGCCTCAGCCTCCCGAGTAGCTGGGACTACATGCATGCGCCACCATGCCTGGCTAATTTTTTTCTATATATATTAGTTGGCCAATTAATTTCTTTCTATTTATAGTAGAGATGGGGTCTTGCTCTTGCTCAGGCTGGTTTCAAACTCCTGACCTTGAGCAATCCACCCGCCTCGGCCTCCCAGAGTACTAGGATTACAGGTATGAGCCACTGCGCCTGGCCACATTTTTTGATTTTTGATAGAGCAGCTATAGATACTGTGTGGACAAACTCACATTTGTGAAAAGCCTCCAGCAACATCTTCATAGTATCTTCAGCCTATAGCAAGAAGCACCCAAATTTAGTACTCGATACACCAAATCATTAAAAATGATTTTCTCGGCCGGGCGCTGTGGCTCACGCCTGTAATCCTAGCTCTTGGGAGGCCGAGGCGGGCGGATTGCTCAAGGTCAGGAGTTCAAAACCAGCCTGAGCAAGAGCGAGACCCCGTCTCTACTATAAATAGAAAGAAATTAATTGGCCAACTGATATATATATATAAAAAAAATTAGCCGGGCATGGTGGCGCATGCCTGTAGTCCCAGCTACCCGGGAGGCTGAGGCAGAAGGATCACTTGAGCCCAGGAGTTTGAGGTTGCTGTGAGCTAGGCTGACGCCACGGCACTCACTCTAGCCTGGGCAACAAAGCGAGACTCTGTCTCAAAAAAATAAAAAAAATAAAAAAATAAAAATAAAAATAAAAATAAAAAAATGATTTTCTCAAGGGTACAAGAGGGGCCAAGTGGGGGACTGAAGGGACTTCCAATATTATAATGCACAAGAATTATATCGAAATGGGGGGGAAATATCTTCTCAATGAAAAAAATAATCTAGTGATTAGTCTTTCTAAGAATGGTCACAGCCTTTTATTTGAGCTAGAAGAGCACTAGATTATGAGTGGGAAGGCCTGAACTCTGTCCTGGTTCTGCTACTCACTGGTCTCATGTCTGTAGGCCTGTTTTCTCATCTGTAACTAACATGAGGAGCTTGGACAATGGTCAGTAAAGCCCATTCTCATTTGAGCCATGAGTGTTGGCATAGCAGAGACTCCCTGATCACATGCCTTCGAATCTGCTGGCTTTGTTCTGACCCTGCCCTGCATACCAGTAGCAGCCTTAATGGATAAAAGTTTTCCATCTGTGTCGGGATATGGAAAGGGAGTGCGAGTGTCCCAAGGATTGGCCTGGGGATGACTGTGGGTGTTGAGAGGCCTCCCCAACAGCCCAAAGCAAGTCCACCTGCATACAGTTCAGTATCAAGCAATGAGTGTGTCCCCCAGGATGCCTGATGATGCTGGGCAGATGCTGCTGAGTGTCACCTGAGTCAAAATGGCCCTGCCTGAACTAGGAGCTGGAAAAGAAGTCGTGGAGGTTCCAGAAACAGGGTTGGCTGACGAAAAGCTAACCTTAGCAGCTGTTTTTCAGCTTTTGATGGTGTGGCCTTTCTCTGCACAATCTCCACAATTACCCACTGTTCTGGCCCTTGGACAATTTCAGACTTAGGCTCTGCCAAGAAATTATTCAGATGGGGGGCGGGGCAGCTGGGTTAACATCAGGGCAAAGCAGGAGACATGGAGCTGCTGCTAACATCGTGGTCAAGTGCTAGGAAGCCAGAAAACCACCTGCATTTGCACCCTGACTTGGCCTCTCATTGATTGTGTGGTCTTGGCCAGGTACTCGTCCTCTCCAAACCTTAGTTTCCTCATCTGTGAGACACGGGTCGCCACACCTGTGCTGCTGGACAGCAGAGGGATGAAACAACAATAGCTGTTCTTCCTGTCTCTCTTGCCCCGCTCCCCTGCAATCCAACCTGGTTTCCAATCGCCCTCCCTCAGCTCACCAAGAACTTCCACAAACTTCAACCCTTTTAATAGCAATAGACATTGCTGACCACATCCCTCTTTTTGAGATGCTCTTCCAGCAGCTTCTCTTTTGTTGGATGCTGACTTTCAATCTCTCCTGGTGAGCCTTCCTCCTCTCACTGGACCTGAAGGTCTTGGCTACCTTGGCCTTGGTCCTAGGCCTCCTCCCTTCTGCCTGTTTTTAAGGAAACCAAAATATTTCACCCCAAAATATACTTCTGTGACATATTTCAAGATGGTGATTCAGAAGGGCTGGAAATATAAGAATAGCTGAAAAGCTGTCTTTTGTGGGGGAGATTTGCATCTGTAGAGAAAAACTACACTGATGCAGCCAGATTTTCACTGAGAATCTCACACCTTTAAAGGTCTGAAAGAAACATTTATCAACTATTCTTGTTACCAGCCAGGTCCAGGTCTGTTCTGCTCTGCCTGCACTCAGTAAATCAATTACTGTGACATGGTTTTGGAAAAGGGAAAAGATTTAATCACAAGGCCACCAAGCGAGGAGGCAGGAGGGCAGCCTCCCTGAAGATAAGGTTATGGGTTGGGGAAGTAGGGTGGTCTAAGGTGTGGGGAACAGTGATTGGCAGTGGGGACAAATGAAGTAACAGGTTCATTCTGCACAGGTGTAGGTAGTCAGGGTTCATGGCATTTCATAGGATGTGTGTACAGAAAATGGAGACATTAGTATGATCTGAGGGTGGAGTTTTTGGCCCTCTGACATCAAAGCCCATCTCTTGGGCATTTTCACAGCCTAGTTAAAGGGTAGGTAGTCTCAACTGGTTTGAACTGGACAGGAACTGGCCCAAGTTCTTGAAAAACAACTGAAGCGACCATTACCATGGTGATTTATGAATGTTCCCTATAAAGTAGCCAGTGAAGGTTAAGTTTTAGGGTTCAGCAGCATAGGCTTCAGCTACTGCGGCCTCCAAAAGGAAAAAAAAAATAATAATAACAAAAGCAAGTGACCGAGAGCAAGCAGAGCAGGCAGATCTGATCAAATTAACTCCTTGGTTTCATTTTACCTGAGGGCTGCTACCTGTGAAGTTTATCTACAGAATGAGACCCTTTACCAGCCAAGCCTCCCCTTTCCCTCCTATAACCTGTTTTGCCACCATAAGCTGCATTATTTCCATAGGTTGTGTCTGGCCATGCCTCTAGCCCCGATTCTTCCCGTAACCTTTAGACAGTATAAAAGCATCAACTGGGCTGGGTGTGGTGGCTCACGCCTGTAATCCTAGCACTCTGCGAGGCTGAGGCTGGTGGATGTGTGGATCGTTTGAGCTCAGGAGCTCGAGACCAATCTGTGCAAGAGTGAGACCCTGTCTCTACTAAAAATACAAAGAAATTAGCTGGACAACTAAAACTATACAGAAAAAATTAGCCGGGCATGGTGGCACATGCCTATAGTCCCAGCTACTTGGGAGGCTGAGGCAGGAGGATCGCTTGAGCTCAGGAGTTTCAGGTTGCTGTGAGCTAAGCTGATGCCATGGCACTCCAGCCCGGGCAAGAGTGAGACTCTGTCTCAAATAAAGAAAAAAGCATCAACCGTGCAGCCATTTCCTTGACATCTTATATTTTGTCAGACTCTCATGCATACTAATACATTTATATGCCTTTTCCCCTATTAATTTGCCTTCTGTCAGTTTTTCAGCGAGCCTTCAGAGGGCGCAGGGGAAGTTTCTCCCAGGACCCTGCAGCTCTCCTGCTGCTCCCACAGCTCCAATGACCAGTTAACTAGGGACTGTTGTGACTCTCCCTCTAACCCAGATTTTTCTCCCCGGGTTTGTACCTATTTCCAACTCCTTACTTGTGATCTCTCCCACGGGCACTCCAAACTCAAAACCCATCCAAAACCCAAATCAGAATTGTCCCAGATCCCAACCCCTGTTATCTAACTTACTTATATTAGAAACTCAGACTCAGATCTCTCTCCCTTTTCCTCTCAGTCTTTGAATTCTGCCACTTGTACCTCCCAGAGGACATATCTATCCAAAGCTCTTAACATGGCCTACACCGCCCCCTCTCTGTCCTCACCTCCTTCCACACGCTCTGCCTTTGTCACTCTTGCTGGACCACACTGGGCTTGGCCCTCACTGTTCCTTCCACTTGGAATCCAGCTCCTCCCCAGGTATCAACATGGCTCCCTCCCCTCAGACTCTGGTCTCTTCAAGCCCTGTTACTAGAGGCCTTCCCTGACCACCATCTATAAGTCCTACCCCCATACTTACTCCCCCACTTTGCATAACACTTCTTTAATATAATACCTTTGCCATCATCTGACACGCACTAGTTTATCGTCTGTCTTTCCATACTGGAAGGTAACTATGTGCACAGAGATCATGACAGCTAGATCCTTAACAACTGGCATCTAGGAGTGTTCAATAAATATTTGTTGGATGAATGGCTTCATCTCTCTGCATTTCCACTACTGCCACCTTTTCCAAGCCATCTCAGCAGCCTCCTAATTGACTTCCCTACAATTGTACCTTGCTTACCAATCTATTCTCCAGCCATCTTTCTAAATACAATTCTGATCATGTCATTCTCCTCAAAACCCTTCAAAGAACTCCTCAATATCCTGAGGCCCCATGTGACCTGGCTTCCTTCTCCCTCCCCCATGCCGGCCCAGGTGCTCAGATCCACCAGGCTCTCCCCACAACCCACCTCCCCCAACACCTACTTAGCCATCGAGTCACAGCTGAAACGCTGGACGGCAGCATGCAGAGGTGAAGAGCTTAACTCCATCACCAGATTACATGAGTCTGAATTTCAACCCATTAGTTTTGTGACCTTATGCAGGATACTGAAAGCTCTTTGTTCCACAGCTTCCTGATCTGTAAAATAAGAATACTATTACTTAACCTCACTATGCTGCTATGATGATTATGTAAATAAACTCACATAAAGCACTGGCCCACAGTAAGGGCTAGGTGTTTCTTATTATTTTTCCTGGGAATGCCTTCCCTGGTGCCCGAGACTACATTAAATTGTCCCATTAAACTTCTATAGTGCCCAGCCTGCGCCTCTTTGAACTTCTAATGAAAAGGGCACTGCCTCTGATTGCCGTGTTGATGGCTATAGCCGGTGTCCGGCACATAGTGCAGCCTAGGCCCACAGTAAATGCAAAACATGTGTCCTTTTATGAAGAGGACTGCCTTTAGGCCAGGTACACAGAGGGGCACAGATCTGGCTCTCACTACTGACATCCCATGGAGTTTGGTGTCCTTCAGCACAGAACAATAATGGACTTTTCACAGTTGGGTGTGAGAAAGTTGCCAAAATAACCTAAAGCCTGGATTAGAGACATGTGGGCTGTGACTTGAGCTCAGTTTTTTCTTTTTGAGACAAGTCTCACTCTGTAGTCTGGGCTAGAGTGCCGTGGTGTCAGCCTAGCTCAGAGCAACTTAAAACTCTTGGTCTCAAGGATCCTCCTGCCTCAGCCTCCCGAGTATCTGGGACTACAGGCGTGTGTCATGACTCTTGGCTAATTTTTCTATTTTTAGTAGAGATGGGGTCTCACTCTTGCTTAGGATGGTCTCGAACTCCTGAGCTCAAGTGATCCTCTCACCTCAGCTTCCCAAAGTGCAGTGATTACAGGCATGAGCCACCGTGCCTAGCCCTCTTCAGCAATGTTTAAAGAACAAGCTCCCTGTGGTGTTCCTAGGGAAGGAGGCAGAACAAGCTCCACTGGATGTCACTAGAGAGATCTCTAATCCAGAAGAGCTTTTGCCTAATAGTCCTGGGAACCCACTTAGTAGTTCATAAGCAGGAAGGGAAATCCTTGACCTGTTTCTCATGGTAGATTCTAGCCCCTGCCAGGCAACCCAAAGAGAAAGAAGATGCAGACACGTAGCAGCTAGGAAACACAAGTCTTTATAGAGAGCTCTATTAGGAGAAGATGTCAGGTACCTGTCTCCACCTCCACCACTTCTGCCCAGGCGCTAAAGCCCATGTCCTTATGGATTAACACCAGGCTGGGGGTGGCGCCTGGCTCCCCAGGCTCAGCAAAGCACTTCTGGCTCTCTGAAATGGTGACCTCTACGACATCCCTGGCTGGGGAGACTTCCCGTTCAGTGCATGTGTCCAGCAGTTCTGGCTCAGTCTGCAGTAGCACGACGGTGGGTTCAGAAGCAGCAGGAGGCACAGAGGGTGGACTGGAGGGCGCCTCAGACTGGTGACTGAGCTGGTGTCGCTTGAGGCTCTGGGGGAGGGTGTAGCCCATGCCACAGGTGGGACAGCGGTATGGCTTGTCAGCTAGGTGGGATTTGAGGTGGCGCCGTAGCTTGGTAGCCAGCGTGTAAGCACGGCCACACTGGGGGCAAGGGAAAGGCCTTTCTCCGGAGTGCAGGCGTTCGTGAGCACGGAGTGTATGTGGGTCTCGGAGGGCCTTCCCACACACGGGGCACAAGTGGGCCTCCCCGGTGTGGGAGATGAGATGCCGCCGTAGTTCAGGCAGCTGGGGGAAGGCATCGGCACAGTGCGGGCAGCGGTAAGGACGCTCCCCAGTGTGTAGCCGCAAGTGCCCACGTAGGTTGCCCCGCTGGCGGAATGCCCGGCCACAGTGTGGGCACAAGAAGGGCTTTTCTCCTGTATGAAGCCGCATGTGGTTGCGCAGGGAGCCCTGGTTGGCCAGGGGCCGCCCACATACGGGGCATGGGCATGGGGCAGGGGCAGCCGGCACCTGGTGAGTCTTGCGATGGAGCCGCAGGGAAGGCCGGCGAGCAAAGGCCTTACCACACTGGTCACAAGCAAAGGGCCGGGCACCTGAATGTACCACCTGGTGTTCTTTGAGGTCTCGTCGGGTGCCATAGGCCTTGTCACATTGTGGGCAGGGGAAGGGCCGCACCCCACGGTGGCCCAGCATGTGGGCTTTGAAGCTTTCCTCTGAGCTATAGCTCTTGCCACACTCCGTGCAAAGAAAGGGCTTGTGGCCTGTGTGCACGAATGCATGCTTCTTTAGGTGACAGAGCTGCAGGAATGCCTTGCCACACTCTCCACACCGGTACCGTCGCCCCTGCTTTGGGGAGCTTCCTGCTGGGTCAGGAGGACTCTGCAAGAGTACAGGGAAGCCAGGGTGCTGCGCCCCAGGCTCTGAGGTTTTTGCTCTGGATGGGCATTGATCACTGGGGCTACGTAACTTCTTGGCCAGGTAGGCATGCAGCTGGGTGTCCCGGGCAAAAGATGAGAGATTGGCTTCACTACTCTCTGGGCTCTGCTGGGTAGCTGAGCTGCTCTGAGGTTCAGGTGGCATCTGTGCCTGGAGTGGGTATTCCTCATCCATGCTGTCATTCTGAAGCAATGGGTCAAGTGGTTGGCTATCCTTGGAAAGTTGGCCCCGAGTTTGGGACTTCAGTCCAGGGCTCACCATACTCTCTGCCTGGATGCTGGGAGGTGACTGGTGATTAGGATCTGCAAGGCAAGAGTGGGGTGCTAGGTTAGGAGAGCTTGGTAGCAGGTAGTGTTACCAGGGAATTATAGGAATATGTGTTTTCTCTGACTCAGCCCCCAAACTTCAGTGGGAGCAATGATATAAATCTCTTCTCTGGAGCATGAGCTGTATACTCTATCTTCCTATGCAGGCTTAGGTGCCTCCTGCGGAAGCACTCCTGAGAAACATGGTGCTCTAGCCAACTAGATAATCCCTAGAGTAAGGCCATCGCAGATTAAGGATCCCCTTGCTCTCCCTCTGGAGACACATATTTAGGACGTGATTCAAGACCCCCACTTCCCACCTTAGCTCATCTGTAAAATAAAGGAAACCCCATCCCTACCTTAAGAGAAAAAACCTAAGTTGGAAATCTTGTACACAGCTTACTGTCAGCTTTACTATTCCAAGAAACTCTTAGGAAGATAAAAGTTGCAAATATCTTTATTATTCATTCCAAGGAAGAGACCCGTCACTTTTCAATAGAAAGCATCAAATGACAATTTATAGCCTAAGACTCTTTGAACTCCTTGCCTGAAACTTCTAGCCTTGCTGTGTCCACCAAACCTAAACTATTATATCATGCTCCTTATCCAACCCTAATCAAGCCCTTCCATCCCATCCCTCACTGAAAGGTCCACATTAAACCAGACTTTAAAAAGCTACCAAGACTCTGCAATGTTCTCTCTTACTATGCTGAGTCATAAACTCTACTTTGTCTGATCACCAGGTTGTTTTGGTGACAATCTGGGTAGCCAGCATTTACCTGTCACATACCTGTGCAAGGTTCTGCTACATCCTCCCCTGGGGAGGCCACCTCTTGCTGTACAGCAGACTCCACTTCTGTCACCACGGCCACAGCTGCCTCTTCCACTAGCTGGGACTGGGTGTGGCTCAGGACCTCAGAGGGAGGCTGGGGCCATAGTAGCAGCTCAAAGCCTGGCAGCACGGCCCGATACACCTGCAGATGGAGCCTCTTGCTGATCCGCAGTGGGGCCACATTTCCCTCACTTTCCAGCCTGCCCCGTTGCACCAAACTGCAAAGTAGAGCAAGAGCTAGCTCAGGAGACCCTCTGCAAGTAGCCTTCCCTGAAAGCCCCAGCTCCCAAGCAGTCGAAGTCCTCAAAGATGCCATGCCTTTGGAACACTCACTGCAAAAGATCACTGGGTAGGGAATTACAGTCAGCTTTGGGTTCCAACCCAAGCCGCAACAGAAAGTCTCAGGAGTATATTCACTACATATCCTCCTCTAATTTACCTGGTCCAGCCTGAACTCTGTTCACAGGCACACATATCTTTCCATGGGTCTAATGACAGGTCCTGAAATAAACCAACAAAAGACCTTCTTAATGTTTTTGAGAGGGCAAGGTAGGAAAAAATAAATAAAACTGAATGAAACCTCTTCTGGGAACAAATCTAAGATGAAGCTCCTGGAAGGTTAGTGGCCTCTGGTTGTACCTCTACAGGACAGCGCTATATGAGTCTTCATTCAGTTAAGACCAAAACGACTATACCCTCACCTTCATCTCAAGGATGTGCTGAATTACTAAAATGAACACTTTACTGCTTTCCAGGAAGTACTAAACAGAAAAGTAGTAAGGGGTACGTATGCCTTTTTAAAAATGGTACTATGCAATAAAACCCTTTACCTGCATTATTTCATCTAGTCCTCCAAATAATCCTGAGACAGTATTGCTTTATTATACAGATGAGTTAAGTGAGGCATGTTATTTAACTACCTAGGTGACAAGTCTGGGATTTGATCCCATGCCTTTTTAATTCCAAAAGCCTCAGCTTTGACCTTTGTCCCTGTTGAAACTATACTAATCCAGCTTTTAACAACTTTTTGCACCTCCATTCCTTAACTACTGCAGGAAGAGACAATCCTGGGAGAGAAGGAACAAAACTATCTCCTATCGCTTTAAATACCCTGCTTCTTCAAACCGGTGAGCTGTCCAGAAACGTCCAAACTGCCCCTACATTTTATATTTTCTTTTTTATTGTTTTTTACTTTTAAAGGGACGCCAGCCCAGGCCTGAGCGCGCGGCCCGCCGGGGGGCGCCCCTCTAAATTTTCAATCGCGGAGAGAAGACGCCCTATCCTTCAATACCTCATCCTGCCGTGGCTTCACTCCTTCACCCTTCTCCTCAGACACAGACTTCTCTTCCAGTGGCCCCCAGAGTAGTCCAGGCTTCAGGGCCTCCCCGACGCACCAGACCCCCAAGCGCTGTTCCTTGGCGAGGGAGGGGCCAAGGGCCAAGCCCCGGGGGAGGCTCTTTAAAGCGAGGATCGCTCGGGTCGGCCCGGGCGGGCAGTCTTTGAGGCCCTGAGCACAGCCTTCTTCGGAAGAGCTCCATCCTAAGTCCGGGCCCAGGCGTGGCTCGGGGGCTGCAGGGGGATGGGAAGACAGTGAGGGAGCCCACCAGGAGGGCGTGGGGTAGGGAAAGGTGCAGGAGGAAACCGCTGGTCCAGAGCCAGGGATGTCTGAGGGCTCTAAGGCGGCCCCTAGAAGGTGTGAGGTGGTTCGAGGACTCGTAAAGTCCCGCCAGCGACTTTGAGGGCACCAACGGAGGATCCTGGGCTTGGAGGGAGAGGGGACTAGGGCGAGAAGGTTGACCAGAGAACGTCAGGTCCGTTTAGGCCACGGCTGAGGATCATAGACATCGCCGGTCACTTACCGAACTGCAATGCGCTCCCCTCCAACAGCAGCTCCTCCGCCTCCTCCATTCCGGGTCAGAAAGCCTCCCTCCGCCGGAAGTGAGCGTCCTCTTCTAAGCTGCTCCCGGAAACAGTCTTGACTTCTAAATTTCCCCTCAAGAAAGAATCCTATGAGTCGGATCTCACTGGTGCACACGACCAGGAGTTTGGGAGTACTTGTAAGGCAAAACTCCGAGGACAGTACGAACCCAGGATTCCGGGGGTTCACCAGAGATTCGAGTATCTGGGAAAGCGGAACTCATTGTTCCAGCCACCACCTTTTGGGAGTGACGAGTCGGACGGTTATGCTGTCTCTTCCCCAGGGCGGGCACTTCGGCAGGCAAGTACAGGAAGTGGGCGGGGCTCCTGGGAAGGCCAAGTTTGGACCAGGCAGCGGGCCGGAAGTGGCTTGGAGGTGTGGCGGAAGTGGCTGGGGAGTGAGGCAAACGGGAGGGGGCGGTGCCCGTTCCACCGCGGAGCCGGATGTTTGCCGAGCTTTGACAGGCGTGGCTGAGGGAGCAGTTCCCAAGCGCGGTGAGCTGCAGGGCGCGGGGTCTCCCCAGGTGTTGGTGGGGGAAGGGAAAGAGCTGGCCAGGTCATCTGAAAGGATGGGGTTGGGATGGGGAGGACCCGAGCGGATACGCGGAGGGGGAGCAGGGGTGGAATTGAGCTTTAGGGCCTGGCCTTCCTGCAGGGTTTCTGCCCCATTTTGGCGCCTGCAGTAAGAGGACTTCGCCCCTTTTGCTGTCTTCTCCTTGCCCTCCCCAGGGCGGAGGCCAGGCCAGATTGCCGCCATCCAGCAAGCCCGTGGGAGGGGAAGTCTCCTTGGTACGATCTGGCTAAGCACTAACAACAAGAAATTTGGGGGAAGTGTTCCATCTTGTCACTTATTAGGCCACACTTTCATCTCAATTTCTTAATCTATGAAGTGGGGTAATTGCACCCAGTCTGGGATTTGTAAACCGTGAAGCTCTGTGCAAACGTAATTGTATTTGAGAGTTGTACTGTGGTGGGATTTGCGTTTTTGTAATTCCAGAGCCGCAACTAGGAGGCCGATTCCAACGTCAGAGAATATAATTTTAAATTGCTCTCTCTGTTCTGCGTGGAAGAAAATATTAGGGGAGAGAGTTTAGTTTGCTCTTTTGTGGCACCTCTCTGAACCTTGAGAGTCATGAATGAATAACAGTCACTTAAAGAATTGTGGAAGGATTGACCTTTGCAAAGAGACCACTTCAGACGGAGACATGGATTAAAATCCTACCTCTGCTTCCTGTATAGCAATACAGGAAGCAATTGGCTAATTTTTTCTGGTCCTCGCTTTCATTAAACTGTAAAATGGGCTTAGTAGCACATGCTTCACTAGGTCTGTTGTGAAGTTAAAAGATAGTTTGTGCCCAGTTTGTGGTGCTATATACGCCCCCAACAAATGTTGGTTCCCTTCTCCACTTAGGAGATGAATTAATTCATTTAGTCATTCAACAAATGACCCCAAAAAAAAAAAACAAAAAAACAAATGACCCAGCATCTACTGTATGCTAGGCATTTTTCTGAATAGGTCAGAGGTTATTAAACAGTGATTTTCAGAGGGTCTGTGAACCTCTCAAAAGTGTGTGCAAGATTTCAGGCATCTGCTGATTTTTCTTAGGGAAAAAAAACAAATGTCATCAGAATTTCACAGGAGTCCATGACTTCCCAAAAGCAATTGCCTAAAGTGATTTTTGTAGAAGTTTATCTGCTGAGAAGGGAAAAATTAATCTCAGAGTAGGGTGTATTTTGCACAGAGTAGAGCAGGGCTTGTGGGTGGCTGGTGTTGTCTTAGGCATCCAGGATACCTTCATTTCCACTACTTTATGTTAGATTTCCCTGCTAGCTTCCCTCACCCTCCCACTGAATGGGAGCTAAACTTCCGGGCTCAGAAAAGGCAACAGCTGTGGATTGGAGGATAGTGAGAGAGGCCAGTCTGGCTGGGAGGTGGGAACAACTGTGAATAGTTATGCTGGAAAAGGAGGTTATGTAGGGGGTTGAGAGAGGTCAGTTCTGGAAGAACTGACAGAATAGAAAAGGAGTTACTGGAAAAGAGGTGGAGTTCAAGTTCAGCTCCCTTTTAGATGGTGTCCTTCTCTCACACATACCTCAGCTCCCAGCTGCTCCTTCTAATCCTGTTGTTCACTTCAACACAAGTATTTCTGAACACTGGAGAATTATATTAATGTATCTGGAAGGAGCCTTTGCCTCTACAGATGAGGAAAGTTAGGCCCAGATGGGAAAAGGACTTACCTAACATCTTTGCAACTCATTAGTTTAGGCAGGACTATAATCCAGTTCTCCATATACCTCATCCCATAACATTTCATCGAATGCAGAAAGACCTCTCTGGGATAGCTGTGGGTGGGGCTGTGCAGCCTCTGCTGCCTGGGCAGTGACAGAACAGAAGGCAGAGAGAGAAGGCTGGGTTGGATTCTGTCCCTATTACCCAGCTGGAGACCCCTAACAGGGAGCAGCTCTCATAGCCTCCTGATTGAAAGGGGGGAGCATGTAGATGGATGGCGTGGATTCCTTAAGACTGAAGGTGCCTGCATGGGTTGAAGGTTGAAGGCAATGAGGGAGCTGGGCTTTGGTGTCATCGAGAGAAATGCATTCCCAAATGTGAGGGGGTCATCCTTCTCTGTTTATGGGAAAGGATTCTATTTTAGTGGTTATCAAGGGTAATGGATGAGGCAGAGGACAGGGAGAGGGAGTGGAAGAGGAAGAAGAGTTTTTTGGCTGTTTGGCTGCTTGGCCGTTTGGCTGCTTGGCTGCTTGGCTTTGGCTCAGGAGCCTGAAACAGCTCTCCATGTGGTTGCCCTGGTGACAAGGTGGTTGTTGCCAGGCACAAGGATATGGTTTTCCATCCCGAGTCCTCGATGTGTGCGGGAGGTTGTCACATCGCCTCAGAGCCTAGAGTCTGTGGATCTGGGACGGCAGTTCTCCCCCTCTTCTTCCTTCCCGCCCCCGGGCCTGTCTGCTCTCCTTATCTGCCCTGCTGATTCTCTGACCATATATGTCAGTTTTTGGGCTCCAGGAATGCAGTAGGACTTACTGCTGCCTCTTCTCTGGGGTTGGTCCGAATGGGTTGAATTGAAACTCCCTTCCCTCATCCATATAGTGAGCTTGTGTTGGGAGAGGGCTGGTGCCTGCCCCAGGCTGGATGCTGCCACATCCTCCAGGCCAGATTCCAGACCTGGAGAAAGCCAGTTTCAAAGTCAGAGCTGGCTCTTCCCCTCTCTGCCGGCCATGGCTGCTGTTCTGTTCTTCACCTCCTCATCTCAGCACTCCAGATGCTTCGAGCATCCCCTTTCCCACCTTAAACTAGTGTCAGGAGCACCCCACAGATAAAGAGTGGGCACAAGAGGCTGTAGGAGCCTGCACATTGTCTGCCATGAGTGACAGGCAGAGTCCATCCGCTGCTGCTGGTGCCTGTCCCAGGGCAAACCCAGCTGGGCGCTTGAGCCATGGCCTTTATTCTGGGACTCTGTGGTCTCTGGGTATCTCCTCTCCCCTGGGCCAGAGGTGAGGGATGGAGTAGCTAGGACCACAGCTGATCTTTTTCAGGAATGGGGTTTGGAGACCCCTGTGCTCCTTAGATTCTTGCAACATCTCTACCCGTGTAGCTGCTGGGCCCTGGGAGGCTTCTGTGCTCCAGGACCCCTGAGGAGAGGGGCGTGGACCTCTGGCCTCTGCAGCTGGGGCTGTGTGACCCAGCCAATTGGGCAGTAGGCAGTGCAGGACCTGGCACTGCTCTTCCCTCCCCAGCTGGAGGACCTGGAGGGAGGCATTGAGCTGTGCCATCCTCTGTCCCAGCTGCTATTTTTGGCAACACGCCTGATCTGTGGAGCCAGGAGATCCCAGAGCTACATGGAGCTCTTGGCAGGGATGGGGCGTGTTGAGAGACAGGGATGGGGACCTTGGGAGAGGAAAGAGCGGTGGCAGGAGGAGGTGCTGTGGAAGTAGAGATGGCAAAAAGAGGGGGTCACCCACCTGCCACCCTCTCTCCCTTCTCCCAGGTTTCTCTTCAGGTTCTGCAGGGTGACGCTGTGGGGGACAGGCTTTGGCCATGGATCCGCTCTCAGAGCTGCAGGACGACCTGACCTTAGATGACACCAGCCAGGCTCTGAACCAGCTGAAGCTGGCCTCCATCGACGAGAAGAACTGGCCCTCAGATGAGATGCCTGACTTCCCCAAGTCAGGTGGGCATTGCCAGCTCCCAGGCTGCCATAGGTGCCTTGAAGGGAGGGGCCCTTTCCTGCTGAAGGGAGTCCCCAGGAGGGCAGGATGGGGGCAGCAGACCAGTCCCAGAGTTGGGCTGGGGGCATGAGCCTTACTGGGGGGAGGGCCAGACAGCCTGTGTGTCAGGGACAGTGCTGTTCCAGCTCCCTGGACTGACCTTGCTGTGTTCCTCAGATGACTCCAAAAGCAGCTCCCCAGAACCTGTCACACACCTGAAGTGGGATGACCCTTATTACGACATTGCCCGGCACCAGATTGTGGAGGTGGCAGGTGAGCACACCAGCATTGTACCTTTTTCCTCACAGCCTGTGCTCCTGGTTTGAAAACATCAGCCCCTAACACCACAGGGGGAGGGTCTGGGGGGGGAGGGTTGGCTGGTACCCCCGTGGTCTTACTCCAGCCCTGGACCTCCTGAGCTCCTACACCAGTCTTTAAAAGCACAGACTTGCTTGTGATTGCCATTTGATATGTTCACCTCTAACTGCTTCCTGACCTATGACCTCATTGTCTGCATTTGCAGTTGGGATGTGGAAGGCAGTGTGGCATAGTGGCTTTAAAGTCAGAAAGCCATGTCCTCCTCATGGGGTTGTGAAAGGATTACAATAATGAATGCATATCGAGGCCTCGCCCAGAGCCAGAACATAGTAGGCCCTGAATAAGTGGCACTTCCTTTCCTCTCCTTCCATTTCCCTCCCTTCCCTTTGCCCTGATGTCAGCTTTCCCACCCAGCCAGTTACTGGGAGGAAGGGGAGTGCCAGTCCCTCCTGGGACAGCCTATCTCCGGGGAAGTCTGCAGTGGGCAGAGCTT